CGTACTATCCCTCGGTTCAACATTCCCGTTACTTTTCTCACCATGAAATATCCAACATGTATAAATTCGATCAATTCCATTCCTCAGTAAATGCGATTCCAACCCAACCGCGTCAACTCGACCCCCATAACAACAACCCAAGCAAGGACATTTCATTCGACTGGGGTTTTCGGCATGTTTAACAGCAAACTTAACGAATTCTAATACCCCATTCTCGTAATCTTTTGACAATCGATTGGAAGACATCCATTTTTTATCCATGGTTTTACTACTAAGTAATCTAAACAAAAACATTATAATTAATCACGTAGTTATAATAAAAGAACAACTAATTACCTGTAGAGAAGTCAACAACTTCTAGAACCACACTGTGTAAGATTCTTGGAACGGTCGAAATTTCACTCTTCACAAGAGAAATCGGAAATTGTGAAAGCGGCTATAAAATTGGGCAGCAACTACACATAAACAATTAGGTTCATTAATTCCATTTCAAAAATGTTTAAAACAAAAGGGTTTTGAGTGTATCTTGTAATATATTCATGAACCTCACTTTGTAAACTCCTAACCTGAGATGTTGATCTTTTAGAAATCCAAGCTATTGAATATCACAACTCATAAATTTATCTCTGGCCTAATCTCAAAAGAAAAACAAAACCAATATCATTTCTTAGAAAATATTTTTTCAACTTTAGAAGACAAAGGAACCTTTTACGTAATAAAAAAGTTGATATTTTTAATCAACCAAAGAAAATAGATGCATTGAAATAACTTAGACATAAGAAATGATGATGATTCATTAAAATAACTTAAACACATTTTTAGGTCTAAGTTCTCTTTTCTTTATTTGATCAAGAAGTATAACTTATAATTTATACTAAAATACCTGGTACCTGGTATCTAAGTTGAGCTTCTGTGTTGGTTGAAGATTTCAACCAAAGTAGCCCTAACAAAAGTGCTACTCCTTGGGAGAAACGTGAGGTGTGTTTGAGAAAAACAAGTAAACCCTGCATATTGAATGCATTAGAAAAATAACTAAACTTAATAAAATTAAAAAGTCTTTCTAATAGTATAAAACAAAGACAACTTCATATATGGGTTATTTTGTTTACAATTTTTTATCAAGTAAATCAAGTTTGGAAGATTGAATTAACAAAACTTAAACAAACAAAAACTGAACTAATACCAGAAAACAAATGAAAAATGTTGTGCAAACTATATAGATGCATTAAAATAACAACAAAATATTTGAATCTCTGCAACTCACAATTTCAACAACAACAACTACAACAATATATGAAAACAGAGATGAATCGCGCTGATGAATCGAGGAAAAGAAAACAGAACTTACAGTTATGAATTACGTTCGACTGTTATGAATCGTTGTTGGAGAAATCACGTTGAAGAATCGTTAGAGAAATTGTTGTTGGAGAATCGTTGTTGGAGAAATCTGTTTGAAATCACGTTGCAGAGAAATGTTCGAAATCTGTTTGAGAGAATGTTCGAAAACGCGTTGCAGATAAATCTGTTTTGAGAGATAATGAAAACCTTTGAGTTTTAGGGTTTTTGTCTTTTTAATTTAGAAATAAGACATTAATGACCTTAGGCAGCGCTTTTCAGAAAGCGCTTTCTAATGTATTACCTTTAGCAACGCTTTCTCACCAAAAAGCGCTTTCTGATGTATGTCCTATAGTAGCGCTTATATGATGCGCTTTCTAAACACATCCTTTAGCAACACTTTGTGGGTAGGTATATCCTTAAGCAACACTTCTTAAAAGCGCTTTCTAAAGTAGGCCTTTAGCAGCGCTTTTTCTCAAATTTCTTTTAAGACTATAGCAGCGCTTTCTGAAGTAAGCCTTTAGCAGTGCTTTGGGCCTATGACATCGCTTTCTACTGTTGGGCCTATAGCAGCGCTTTGAGTTTAGGCAGCGCTTCTAGAATTTATTTATTTAATTTCACTTTTAATTGACCTTAGGCAGCGCTTTCATGAAGAGATGCCTAAAGTGTGGCTTAGGCGGCGCTTTTTCTTAACTTTAGGCAGCGCTTTTTTCCAAATTGTTGTCTAATATATATAATTTAAAAATTACAATTTCTATCGTGACATATAACAACACTTTGATATAGAAGCGCTGTCTAAAGTGCGCTGCTTAAAAACTATTTTGGCATAGTGTATAATGAAAAATCACTTAAAATGTGAGAGACCAAATCAATAGTGAAATTTGAGCAGGAAAACAAAATAGACGGAGTCATATGTCACCAGATCTCAAAGAGGGATAATCGAAATTGGGAGATAGAGAGAAAAGACAATTTGCGCAAAGAGTGAAACGTAATCTGTAAGGAGAAATTGCCTTTATACAAGAGGTTGGTGTTATCACTAAGGACTAAGAGGTTGGAAAAAGAGCGAATATCTACTATATGAGGCATTGTTAATGTCACCACTATTGGATATGTCTATAATATTTTCCGATGTATCTCCTAAATTATCCATTCCTAAAAAGAAGAAAAAAAAGAAATTGGAAATAGTAAACAAGAGGGAAACAAATGGTACTTGGGAAGAACTGGAGATGTAAAGGTAAAGCTACAATAAAAAAATCACTTAAAATGCGAGAGGCCAAATCAATAGTGAAATTTGAACAGGAAAATAAATCAGACGAAGCAAGATGTCATTGGATCTCAAAGAGGGATAATTGAAATCGGGAGATAGAGAGAAAAGACAATTTGCGCAAAGGGTGAAACATAACTTGTAAGGAGAAATTGCCTTTATAAAATGGAGCAAAGTAGACAAATCAATGGCATACTCCCTCTGTCCCACAATGAATTACCCATTTGGAATAAAATAGTTGAAGATGTGAAAAACACAAAAAGGGGGGGGGGGGGGGGGGTGGGGTTGAATTGAAAACTTGAAATCAAAAGCGCAATGACACAGTACTTTTATCCTGGTTCGTTTGATCTTAAACTACTCCAGTCCACCCGTCAAGGTAATTTCGCCTCTCTCCAACGAGGTCTTAATTCACTAATCACAAAAGAATTACAATCACTACTTTAACAAATGTTAAAGTCTTCTTGAGTATAACCACAATTTGGTTAATCTCAAGGAACACTGTTTCAAAACAATTATACAAGAATGTGTGTTGTTGTTTTTCGTAACAAAAACTGTTATCACAACTGTGATAATTTACACAAAATTATAGCTTGAAAGATGATGAAATTTGCTTGCAGCTTTTTGAATATGCGTAAGTGGTATATGGCAAATCGTTAACGATTTGAACACTGAGCTTGTTTATATAGGCAATGGATTTACGTTGATCATCAAGCGTGTTAAATGACATTAACTCAGTTTCCATTTGGAGAAGATCTTGTCTGAAAGAAGCCGTTGTAATTGATGCTGAATTGAATGATCAGTAACGCTTCAGAATCTTACATCCTTGCCTGCTGCTGACGCTTTAGAATATTGATGACTTGGATTAACATGTTCTTGTTCAGAATCAGAGTTTACTTTGCTTAAGTGCAGGTTCTGGTCATCAATCTTCAGTGCATGTTCTGATTGCTTCAACGTGTAGCTCTTATGACTTATCTTTTGATGTTGTTTTGGTCAGAACTTCTGCATACATAAAAATATAATTTTTAGGGTGCATATTTGTTCTTTGTATTTGTTATCATCAAAACTCTAACTAAGGGTTGTAGAATCAAACTATGTTCTAACAATAGTGTCCCAAAATGAATGACCAATTTCAATTTCTAATACACTTTTTTCAATTCGACCTTCTAATTAATTAAACATTCATCATTTCTAATACACGATTAGGGGTACTATAGTAAAAGTATTATTCTCTCTCTTATTTTTCTACACTTTTTCTTAATATGTGTGAAATGATGAGTTGGATCACTCATTATGGAACGGAGAGAGTAGAACTCAGGAATGTAGGCACACAAAAATCAACGAACGAGATTATCTCGAGATTACAATGACACTCAAGTGAACTTGAGTATCCTAAAGCTCAACATCACACCATATTCTAGAGATCTAGGGCCATGTGGCAGAATGATCCTCCAAAATGTTTATATGGCAAGACTTACATTTAATTCGATTGTTCCCAAAGTCAACCACTCTCCATTCCCCAAACTTTTCCACCTCTGCAAAGTAAGAGCCTGACACGAAGACCATATTCGAGGAGGATAACGACCTGATACTTTAAAAGGTTTTTCCATTTTTGCGCGATGACATAACTTATGGGCAACTATTCTAAGCCGCACACAAGACTAAAGATAGGAAAACTCAATCATGATGAAGCTCAATCCAAGAGCAAATTTACCAAGATGTTGATGACTCATAGTACTCCCAACCAGTGGATCGACACTTGATCCTCACCCTCAAACGACCGCCCACTATTAGATACAATCAGACAGTCCCTCGTGTAAGACGTCAGATCACACGAAAATGATTTTAATGACTCATTCTATATAAAATCCAACACACACTATTTTAGATATTCTCTCATTCAAACACACGTACTATTTTCTCATACATTCGTTAACTTAAACATTGAAATGTTAACTTTACAATTTCATCTCATATCTATCGTAACAGAAACTCACTCCACCGCTCCAAAACTCGGTTCGAATCCATCTCTATCATTTCCTGTCTTTAGTAAATATAAATATAAATTTGTAACAATATAAACAATGTAAAAAAAGAGAATATTCCAAATGTTTTATTCACTTGGAGATCGAGAATGGAGTCCTTTGTGTCACTATCACTCAGCGGTTTTGGTTGCGTCTCTGTCAGCATGCGTCTTTTTTAGTGTACTGCAATATATTGTGTGCATTTTTAAAATTGCAGCCTTTTTTCCACCGAAAAGCAATTTATTACAAGAAAGTTCTATTATTTATCTATTCTTCAACAAAAGTACTAGGACATAGATACACGCTACTGAATCTTCCTTTTGTTTTTCTCTTCAATTTCTGAATTCACCAACCACACACTTCTCTGAAACAACACGACGATGAGGCCAAAGATTGTTCTTTTCGGAGATTCCATCACTGAGGATTCCTTCGAACTTGGAGGATGGGGTGCTTCTCTTGCCCATCATTTCTCTCGCACGGTAAATAAAACCCATGTTTTTGTTTTTTTGTGTTTTTCTCGTGATGGGTTTTGTGAATTGGATTTAAAGTTTGAAGCTTTGTGTTGTTGTTTATCAGGTGGATGTGGTTCTTAGAGGATACAGTGGGTACAATACGAGATGGGCGTTGAAGGTGTTGGAAAGGGTTTTTCCCGTGTCTCAGGAAAGTGATCCTATTGCTTTGACTGTTTTCTTTGGGGCTAATGATGCTTGTCTTCCTGATAGATACTCTGCTTTTCAACATGTGCCGATTCGTGAATACAAGGAGAATCTTCGCTCCATTGTCTCCTTCTTCAAGGTAACAACACATATTCCTTGTAGGAAATTTTATCTCGAGATTAATGATTTGGATAAAAGCATGATGTTGAATATAATATCATGGCGGAAGTTGATCATTGTAGACGACCATACTTAATGATATAAGACTCGGTTGTTATTGTTGTTGTTGTACTATGTTATACTATGTTAATAGTAACAAAAGTTTGGGTGCTGAGAGTGCACTCCTCTCAAGTTTGAATCCCACCCGTACTAACAAGCAGTTTTTGTCTTGGGTCAGTCCATAGAGAGTTTTGCTTTGACTCCTATTGGGCCCCTTGTAGACAGTGAGATTGGTCCCCGGATTAGTTAGATTGCTCTGACTTCTCGAATGATAATTTTAGTAAATAATAGTGATCAAGTGGAGGATTGCTGGTGGAAACACACTCTTCTATGTGTTGAAATTCAAATCGATTTCAATAATCTAGACATCACATATATGTAATTTGGTGGAACTCATGAATTTTAATCAATAAATAAGAATCTTGAAAATAGTCTGTTACTAGCATATTTCAATTGAACGTAACCATATACGATGGTTCTATGTTCGGCTGACACCTGATACGTCTTGATTATGAATCGTTGGTGATACATGATACGTTTCTTTACTGTCACAAAGGTTTAAAAAAATAGTTTTGCCCCTTGTGGGCATGATAAGCGTGCCTTGGCTGTGTATATTGCATGTTAGTGTTACAAAAAGATTAATAATTTGTCATTTGGTGGATTTGGGATGTTATGATGATTTATATATCTTGTGGGGTAGTCAAATGTTGGCTGTTGCAACCTTGTGGGGCTTTAGGAATTGAATAAGAGAAGCGGGGCCCTTATAGAATAGGTGATGTCAAATGAAACACGTCCAAAGTATTTTTTTTTAATTCCATGCTTTTCTGTGGTAGTGGATTTTGCACGAGATGCTTGTGTAAAAGATCCACTTTTTTATTGAACTGTGTGTGGCTTTGTTTTCAGAACCTAAACATTGTGTCTTTTTTCTGTGTCACTATTTGGCTTCCATGCAGTTATGTTATCATTTGGTTTTGGTCACCTATGAGCTGTTAGGCAGGTATGCATGTTAGCAAGGTGGGATTGTGGGGAAGTCCTACATTTACTTTTGGAGTGGACGAATGGTCCCTCTCTTTTAAGGATTAAGATATCTATTCAACATTCTTAAGGAAATGTTTTTGACCATTGCTTGGCCCGTAGGTTCATCACTGTTGACACTTTTAATAAGAAAGTTATTGATAATTGACCCTTATATGTATACATATATGTATGTATGTATGTCTAGAAGTGTCTATTAGGACAATTCATTGCACGAGAAAAGTCATCAGAGGTAGTTAAATGGCTAGAGATAGATGAAGACTGAGAAAAACTTTAAGAGAAACTATTAAAAAACATCTTGATTTCTGAAATTAATCACTTGGATAGAAGTATGGTATTTATTAGAATATTAAGGCGGCTTTTGATCTATGTAGCCGACCCCATTTAATGGGATAATACATGATTGTTGTTGTATGCTTCCACCTGACGTGATCTGGTGTGAAGCGAAGTATAATTGAATATTGCAAATTTCCTTTGAGTTTCAGAAACTATGGCCTACAACTCATGTTCTCCTCATAACTCCTCCTCCCATCGATGAAGAAGCACGACTTAGGTATGTATTTCTTTATTGACCCTTTGTTCATCATGATGTCACTGATTTTATAATGTTTACTTGTTTGTGACATTTAGATATATCATATATAATGCTAATAGAGGTTAATCATACTTGAAGAAATTCTAAACCTATATTGCAGGTATCCATATATGGACAATCCAGAGAATCTTCCCGAAAGGACAAATGAGGCTGCTGGTGAATATGCTAGAGCATGCATTGCTGTCGCCACTGAATGTCAAGTTCCCGTCATTGATCTCTGGACCAAAATGCAACACTCATCCGGCTGGGAAAAATACTATTTAAGGTTTCTAAAACTTACTTTCTTCTTTTATCTCCGCTCACGGCATTCTGAATCTAAACGTCGACAATGTTTACGATTTACCATTTAATTACGATTTTTTTTTTACTGAAATGTAGTGATGGTTTGCATCTCACTAATGGAGGTAATCGACTTGTCTTTGAGGAAGTTATCAGAAAGCTGAGAGATGAAGGTTTGAGTGTAGAATCTTTGCCAATTGATCTCCCTCTTATATCTGATATTGACCCTAATGACCCTATGAAGGCATTTCTATAGTAAATAGAGTACATTACCTGAAAATATTTTGATCTTCCTTTTGCTGCTAAGAATTATCTAAAAGTGTCTTATGTGGAAAACAATATATTCTTCAAGTGGTATATGCTTTTTCTTTCTGAAAGTATTAGATATTCCATTTTGTATTGTTTGGTAATGGTTGTAAATGAACTAGATTGAAGTGGTTCTTAATACTTGATCCACAACATTTATGTATGTCTAATTCAATATTGTAATTTATTATTAAATGTTGTATTTCTCTATAATCGAAAACAACAAATTATAACCCAAGAGCACTTGGATGAGATGGCAAGAGTAATCTAACTCGAGAGATTAGTCTATGCAGTTGCGCGAAGAAGATATCCTAATTTATACACACACAAAAAAACAACAAATTATAAATTATATTATGTGTAGATTCTTTCTATTAAATTTTCGGTTTGCACGGGTGTATAATACTAGAGTTACGTACATTTTATGTTTTCTGAAATTAGGTAAATAGAATCAATTTAAGATATGAAGTTAAAGTTCACATATTATGTAATTGTTTTTTTTTTCCGATAAATTTTCATGTTGGAAGTTTGGTTGTTTATGTTCAAGTGACTTGTCAGCATCATCCCTGAAATTCATGTCATATGATATGACAAAGAAAACCATCTAGAATTTGTTGATATAACAAGCTTGTTTATGTTTATAGAAACACTTCAATAGGAAGCAAATGCAAGTGGATCTTCATTCTGCAACTATACTTTTAATATCTTAAAACGAATAGAAAGATGATAGAAGAATATGGAACATAGTTTTCATTATGTTATTTGGAGAAGATCTACATTCCCATCTCTAGGTCCTTCCCTTTATATATAACAAGTTTTTGTCATTTTAAGAAGAGTAGTCGCAACATCTCACAACATTATTACAAGAAAAAAAAGGTTTGTTGAGAGGTTCGAGGAATCAATGAACTTTGTCTTTAAAGACATTAAAAACTTATCAATAACCATGTTGGTGAGAGTAATTTATTTTAGGTTGGGATCATTGTTCACAATCAAAGGTGAAAAATGGAGTTTATTGTTACAGTCGAGCAATTGTTTAGTGAAAGCTGCATGAAAATGATGGAGGAAATTATCAAATTTAACACATGTTTTGTTACATGTTTTGACCGTCATAGATACACTTTCAGTGTAGAGGTGACAATGGACCATAGTGAGGGGAAGTCTAAAAGATACTATCGGGTTGAACTACATCGAGGTTGGTGTGACTGTCGAAAATTTCAAGCCTTCCATATGCCTTGCTCTCATGTCATTGCGACATGTTTAAGTGTTTGCCAAGACGCTTCCTGTTGGAGTTCACACCTCCATTGTTGCACAAGAAGCTTGAAGAAGATGAAGATGAAAGAATAGAGAAAGAGAGAAAAAATTTGTAACTAATTTTCTAACAAACTCAATTTCTCAAATTGTGATTCAATCAATACAACTAACTGAATGAGATTCAGTTCATATACTCCAACTCAAAATGAAAGCTAAATGCAAATGAGACTTAAATGCAAGCTAAACTCAAATGCACACTAAATGCAACTTAACACTTTGAATTTGAATTATATCTAACACTATCCCTTAATTCATATTCAAGTTAAAATCAACAACATCAATTACATCACTCAAATTAATGAAGTGTTCAGTCTTGATAATCTTGGTCAGCACATCAACAAGTTGCTTATGAGTGCTACAGTGAACAACTTCCAGAAAATGACACTTAGTATCTATATGATTGCTTCTACCATATAATATTGGGTTCTTCGCAAGATTTACTATTGACTTGTTATCAATCATCAACTTGACTGGTTTGCTCACCTTGAACTTTAGTTCCTGCAGCAAATTCATCACCCAAACAACTTGACAAGCTGATACAACTCCAACAATATATTCGACTTTACATGTTGACAATGCAACCACTGGTTGTTTATTGGAACACCAAGAAATGGGACTATCTAGATACATAAACATGTAATTTGTAGTGCTTCTTCTGTCAACTCTGTCTCCACAACAATCAGAGTCTAAATAATAAATCAGTTCAGCAACATCTGACACTCTAGAGGAAACAAAATTCCATGCTTTAGAGTTTCCTTTACATACTTGAGAATCTTCTGACTGCAGCTTGGTAATGTGACCACTTTGGTTTACTCATAAACCTACTCACCATGCCAATTGCATAACATATGTCAGGTATGGTATTGTTGTTTACCTCTGGTTTTGGTAAACAACGATGGTCTTTTAACAGAAAGTTTACTGGCGAGATCGATCATGGAATCTCAGTACAGTGCCTCGGTTTTTGAGTGTTTTCACAAAGTATGTTCAAAAGGGTCCGTTCGACTAAGGCGAAACGAACTTAAAAGCAATAAAACAGTAATCATAAAATAAAACAAAGACGTTTTAAACTGTAAAAATAGATGACATAATATTAAAATATTTAAAAATGGGTTGATTCAAACATACATCGCCCGTACTTAACTCATTTCGCTCGTTCACTTGGATACTATGAGTGACTAGCGTGTAGGAATGTGGAATCCCTTATACTATGCACTAAGTGATTTATTTATAATACATGAAAATAACTACTTTTTAGCGGGATTCGCTTCTTTTATAACTTCCCTTCATGAATCCACGTTCTCCATTCTTGCTATCGAACTCACGTTCTCAATTATAACTTCCCTCCATGAGTACACGTTCTCCATTTTTTCTATCGAACCCACGTTCTCTATTCACAACAATTTGATTTGCTAGTTATGCCATCTTTTGGAATTTTTAACACTCTTGGGCCTGATCCATTCCTCGTGAGGCCTCTCTTCTGGTCGACTGCGTCTATAAGCCCAAATTGGCCTTTTATGAAATCTCTTCCGGTCGAATGCTTCTATGGTCGACTTTCTATAATCCAAAATCGTCAGTGAACCCTTTTTGCTTTTGGTTGAATTTTGACCCTTTTGTAAAAATCCTAGCCAACAAATTGCCCCCCTCCTCCAAAATGTCCTTTTCGACTGAAAGAACATAAATGGACATTTTAATCATTTTCTCTTAGTGTGAAGTGACGTCATCGTAATCATGACCTTTTACCTCAAAAGTTACATCAACGATCACACATTTAGAGCTCATAACAGACCCCATGAACATGAAATTTGTATCCAAAATAAAGGAAGTTTTGTATAGTTTCTGAAAAATCAAGAATCTTCTTGTTCTGAGTTGCAGAGAGAAAGTTATCATCTTTTAAATGGAGATAGATCAAGTATTTTGAATTCTGCATAATTTTTCAATCTCTTTGAATACTAACCATATATATTTTGATTCTTAAACCCTAACTTTGATTGAGAAAAGATGAAGATTAATTGAGTTGAAAGTGTTGATGACGATGATCATGATTCACTTGGTGTGAGGGTTCTTCAAGAATCTCAATTTGACTCTCACGTGCAAGCAAGAGATGAAGCCCTTTCTTGGTGATCTCCCCCCTTTTCATCTTGCCCAGCCGTGTTCTTCTCTCTCTCTCTCTCCTATTATTTCTATCAAATTATGATTTTAGAGAGATAGTGAAAACTGAGGAAAAAAGATAGTTTTGGATATATAAAGAGTCATACTCAATTACCCAAAATGCTCCTGTCACTAAAACATTTTTACAAAACCATGCCACTTATTAATTAGTAAAGAATGAGGGCTTAAGTTAACATTAATCTTAAATCTAATAATCCTAAGTTAACACTTAATCCAAATACTAATGGTTTCCATCACTTACTAGTCAATCTCATAACCAACCCTATTATCCTTAATTCAAGTTCTACTAATTCTTAATGTCAATTACCATTTATTTTGACACTATATTTTGAGTAGAAACTTGGGTTATCACACTACTCATGTTCATATCTTGATTAATTGAGTTAAAGTTAAACCATACCTTAAGTATACCAAATACATATTTATTTTAAACATATTAGATATAAAACTTATTACCTTCTAACTTACTTATATTGTATTTTGACACAGGGCATATAATACCTACTATTTTCAAAAAATTAGTGAACAAGCTACTACCACTCACATACATGTATACTTTCCATCATGGTTCAAGAAACAATTGACATACAATGTTGCATCGACTCTAGAAATACTCCATTTGAGAAACTTGTGTGAAGGCACTGTTTAATGTTGTTAGTTCCATGTTTTTATGGTTGGCTAAATTTTGCTTAAGCATGGTTATAAAAATTGGTTCTGTGTTGATGTTGGTAATTGTAGTTGTTTAGTTATTGGCTTGCATTTTTGGTAAAACCCAAGTGTATGTGTGAATGTCATGACTGATGTCATAACATTCTAGTTTAGTTTGTACTGATTCATTAGGTACCTTTGCAGAAAAATATTGTCATTCAGGTACTGATGTTTATAAGTGTGTATCTGAGCATTTTGCAAAATGATCACACTTTCCTAAATCAGTAGACAGGTTTTTCAGATGTCATAACAGATGTCAAGACATCCTGTTCTGAACTAACAGGTTTGCAGTTTAGTTAATTCTGAGTTTTTTTCAGGAAAATGACTCAGTCTTTCCAGAACAGCATCCTGCGTTTTCTTTGGGTTAACCTAGCTCAACCCTAACCTGGTTGATAAAGTCCTGTGACCTAGTCTTAAGGTCAAATGGAATTAACCCTAGCTTTTTGTGGAAACTCTAACTGAAGATGCAGCTGCTATATATTCAACAGAGCTGCTGTTTTGCAAGGAATCCCTTTTTGGTCAGAAGATCATTTGTAAACTGTATAGGTTTAATTATTGTACTTCAAGCAATTATCATTGTGATAAGTGACTTGGAATAGGTTTTTAATTGTAAGGGTTGTGTAGCACTCAAAGCTTTGAAGCAAGAGTGTTTGAATGTTTCTTGACTAAAGCTGTGAAGCAGAGTCAAGTTAGGTGTGTGTATCACTCAAAGCTGTGAAGCAAGAGTGGTTGTGTTGCTTGATTAAAAAGCTGTGAAGCTTA